GCGAGATCGTGACCTGGCTGAAGTCGGACGCTCAACCGACTGCGCCACCCAGGCGCCCCAAGAAAAAATTTATTTTTAAGTAATCTCTACACCCAACTTGGGGCTGGAACTCACGACCCTGAGACCAAGAGTCGTGTGCTCCACTGACTCAGCCAGCCAGGTACCTCTGGATACCAGTCCTTTATTAGATACGATATATGCTTGGCAGATATTTTCTCTCAGCCCTTTGCTTGCCTGTTCATTTTCACGATAGTGTCTCTTGAATGGCAGAAGGTTTTTATTTTGATATGGTTCAACTGATCAATTTTTTTTCTTTTATGCTTAAGGCTTTTTTGTGCCCTCGATCCAGAATTTGAACCCAGATCTGTGAGCCCCAAAGTCCTTCCTCTTATTACATTTAGGTAGTGCTTCCTCAAAAAATCTATCTTTAGACCCGTTCCAGGTGGGTACCACCTGAATCCTTCAAGGAGCTTGCTAAAAATACCGAGTCCTGAGTCCTCACCCTGGGGAATCTGCTTCTGTGGTCCCAGCTTGATTCGGGAATCTGTATATTTAACAATTTCCTGTGACTGGGTGATCAGCTAGATGTGGGATGGGTTTAATGCAGGGCTCTTGGCATCCCTGAGCCTTTAAACTTGTTCATTTCTTGGCTTCCAGCTGGGTCCTGCAAAGTGTTGCTGAAGGTGGCATTTCTTGGTCTGTTTCTTATTGTGCCTTCTCCTTCCCCTCCCCCTCCCCCAGCTCCCGAGCACAGTCAACATTCATCAGTCGATCAAGACACGCTTTTGAACTAACCTACCTATCCTCCACCAGTCGGGGGGAGAGGCAGCCCCATCCCACAGCTGGCACTAAGTGGTACCAAGTAGAAACTATAATTACTGACCTTGGTATGAAGTGCTTGTGTGCACCCCCCTCAAGCTGTTGGCGGCCACTTAAGTTGGTTTCCTCAACCTTCAGCCCAGCCGGAGGGTTCCCCACCTGGAGAGACTGTTATTTTAAAGTACCTCCAAGATTGGCTTATTGGACTGGAGAAGGACACTTCTGCAAGCGAACAGCTGTGCCAGCCTCCAAATAAAAGAAAACCCTATTCACGTGCGGTAGGTGGGACGGAGAAATGGAGTCTGTTTTGGTTTAAGAGCAAAAACAAGTGTCTCGAGCTTTTAGCAACTTCCTCTGGTATGTGAGATCGTGTGACCTGCTTTCCCTGAGCAGATGGAGTTCTTAGGGGGCAGAAGTGAAGTTCAACTTCAAACCATGGGCACCAAAAAGGGTAGCAGGTCAGGGAACTAAGATCTGTTGAACCCCTACTCTAGCCAGGTCTTTATATTTTATTTGATCCTTTCAATAACTCATAAGGTCGATATTATTATTCATGTTTTACAGACGGGGGAAACTGAGGCCCAGAGAGGTTCTAGACCTGCCAGAAAGTGCTGGATCCAGGATACAGAACATTAGCTAAAGCTGAGCTATGGTAAGAAAGAGGCCTCCACATACAGCTCGAAGGATGTTGATGTTTATTTCTTTCTCATCTAACAGTCCCAGGTCAGTAGGAAAGCCCTGCCCCAGGCAGTCACTCAGGGACCCGGGATCCCACCATCTGTCAATTCACAGGTTCCTACAACTGGAGTTGGCAAACTTTTTCTCTAAGGAGCCAGAGAGGGAGCATTTTAGGCTATGCCAGATGTATGGTCTCTGTCCTTGCCATGCAACTCTGTTGTATGATGAGAGCCGCCATAGACAATATGTAAATGAACGGATGTGGCTGTGTTTCAATAAAACTTTATTTACAAAAACAGTCCACAGACTGGATTTGGCCCAGAGGCCATGGTTTGCTCACAGCTACCCTAGAATAGTGGTTCTCAAAGTGTAGTCCTAGGGAACCAGCAGCATCAGCAGCATCTGAAACCTGTTAGAAATGCAACCTCTTTTTTTTTTTAATGTTTATTTTTGAAAGAATAAGAGAGAGAGAGAGAGAGAGAGAGCACAAACACACGAGTGTGAGGGGCAGAGAGAGAGGAAGAGAGAATGCCAAGCAGGCTCTGTGCTGTTAGTGCAGAGCCCGACATGGGGCTCGAACCCACGAACCAAGAGATCATAACCTGAGCTGAAATCAAGAGTCAGACGCTTAACCGACTGAGACACCCAGGCACCCCCAGAAATGCAACTTCTGAAACCAATCCCCCAGACCTATTGAATTAGAAGCTTTGGGGGGTGGGGGTGCCTGGATGGCTCAGTTGGTTAAGCATCCGACCTCGGCTCAGGTCACGATCTCATGGTTTGTGGGTTCAAGTCCCATATTGGGCTCTGTGCTGACAGCTCCGAGCCTGGAGCCTGCTTCAGATTCTGTGTCTCCCTCTCTCTCTGCCCCTCCCCTGCTCATGCTTTCTTGCTCTCTCTCAAAAAATAAACAAAACATTTAAAAAAATTATTAAAAGAATAAAAAAGAAACTTTGGAGGTGGATCCCAGGAATCTGTTTTTTTAACAAGCCCTCCAGGTGATTCTCAATGCATGTCGAAGTTTAAGAACCTCTGTTTTAGAGCCCTCTCAGGCCTGCTTCACATGAGCACCACCTAGGGAGCTTTCAAGGCTCTTCAGTGCCCAGGCAATTACACTGGACCCTGTGGGATGGGATGCAGGCACCCGCATTATGAAAGCTCCCTGGCTACGTCTCAGGTACGGCCGGTGTGGAGAAGTACCTTCCTCGAGCACCGTCACCCTCTGCGCGGTCAGACATGGTTGGCAACCCGACCTGTGACACAGCTGCCTCTCCGAGGGGCATACCCGGTGCTCCCCGAGGTCTGGGATTTGGTTTCTCCTTTTGTCTTATCTCTCAACCCCTCTACACCCTGGCCCCTTCCTGGGGCCCCTGTCTGGGGCTTCATGATAGGGAGGATCTTGGTTCCAGGCTAACCCTTCTCTGGCAGGAGTGGGGCAGGAAGAGTGGATGACTCAGTGGCAGGTGAGAGGGTGTGGAACGGAAAGAAAGCAGGAGGTAGAGAACCAGGAGAGGGAGGCAGGAGGAGAACTTGGGTATGGAGGCAACTAGCACAGTGGGCTGTCCCTGGAGCTCAGCGAAGGCCAGTTCCCCTCCCTGCCCCTGCTATGCGGTGACAAAGAGCAGTATCCTGGTATCCCCAGGTCTTCCTTTATACACGCCTACATGGCACTTACTGTTTGCCTGGAAGCACGCTACGTGCTTTCCGTCAGTTAACTCATTGTATCCCCGCAGCAACCCTCTGGGGTAGGGACTATCATCACTCCCATTTTATAGATGGTGAGACTGAGGCTTTAAGAGGTTGAGGTGATTTACACAAGGTTACATAGGTGGTAAGCAGTAGAGATGGGATTCAATTCAGAGACTCCGGCTCCGGAGCTGAGCTGTTGGCCACCATGCTACCTCTCTTTGTCACAGACATGTGGTATTATCATTCCCATTTCACAGATGGAAGCATTCCCGCAGTAACCTGCTCCAGATTCACAGAGTCAGGAGGCGGTGGAGGCGGGATTTGAACCTAGCTGTCTCCACCACCAAAGCCCTTGCATTTGCCAGTTTGCCCCACGGCCTGCTTTCGGCTCCCCTCCCGCCTCCCTTCCATCCGTCCATCCATCCGGCATATTCTGGGTTCGCACGTGTGCGGCTGACTCACGGGGGAGCAGGGGAGCCCATCCTCCGGAGTGGGAAGGCAGACTTTATTTCTGTTCAGAGCTGTCTCGGGTTGGCGCTGGGAGAGCTGCCAAACCCAGCTGACACATTTCCCCCCCCGGCCAAAGCTGCAGAGTGGGTGGGCAGCCCCGGGGGACCCCGGGGGGCTGTGACACCAGCTCCTCAGATGAGTCTCAGCACCCGGGGGAGAGCAGGCATGCCTGCTTCATCTGCCTTAGCTACAATCTCTTTCCCTCAGGGGATTTACTGGTTCCAGTTGCTACACTGTCTTTCTCACTTCCTCTCTGCTCTGGTCCGGAGCCAAAAGAAACCACAAGAAACCATTTGATCCAGGCTCTCCTTTAGGCAACCAAGGTAATCCTGGTTGTTCCCATTTTACAGACTCAGTAAGTAAGCTACCTGTGGCTCCTAATTGAATTGTCCTCTTTCCAACAGCCCTGTGATTTCCCAAATGTCCCTGATGGTAAGAGTCACCTAGGGGTGCTTGTCAACTACCTAGATCCCGAGTCCTCCGCTCTGGAAATTCCAAAGCAGGAGGTTAGAACTGAGGTCCAGGAGTGTGCCTGTTAACAGGGTGATTCTCTCATCACCAGGGACCCCTGTTGGGTGTGGGGATTCTCCCCCACTTCAGGTGCAAGACCTGGGCCGGCTCTGTCTCAGCTATGCCCAAAATTGTAGTAATTGCCCCCCTGAAACTTGGATGAGTCTTGTGGGTTTAGCTGCTCACTTGGCAACATTTCCCTCCCCGCCCAACTTCAGGAAATCAGGAAGGGGCTCATAGGACGGTGTGGATGGTACCTCTGTCCTCTCTGGCCAGTTCTGCTGTGTCCTCCAGAGGAGGTTTTCGAGGGTCATTAGAGATCTCCCAAGTGTCCTCAGATAGAGGATACCTTATCCCCACCTCAGCCAACCTTCCCGATACCGAGGGATTCCCTACTTGCTAGAGGTCCCTGGTCCATTTGTTTCTGGACTGGTCAGGAAAAGGCAAAAGACATTGGAGGGAGGAGTTTGTTTCAAGGCGTGATGGGTTTAAAATATGAATGGGAATTCTTTGATACTCCATCCTGTAGAGATGGAGCCTGGTTCCCCGTTCCTTGAGTGTGGATGGACTTAGTGACTTCTTTCTAATGCATAGAATAAAGTGGAAAAGGCGATATTCAACTTCTGAAACTAGGTCACAAAAAGGACTGTGCCTGCCTTCTCTTTCTTGGATTACTGTGTGGAGGAAAGCCAGCCACCAGGTTGTAAGGACGATCAAGAAGGCCAGTGGAGGGTCGCCTGGGTGGCTCAGTCGGTTAAGCGTCTGACTTCGGCTTAAGTCATGATCTCATGACTGGTGAGTTTGACCCCACGTCAGGCTCTATGCTGACAGCCTGGAGCCTGCTTCGGGTTCTGTGTCTCCCTCTCTTTCTAACCCTCCCCCACTTGTACTCTGTCACCCTCCCTCTCTCTCTCTTGAAAATAAATAATAAACATTAAAAAAAAGAAACCCAATGGAGAGATATATCCATTTCCTGTACAGAGTTCCTAAAACCCTTGTAATTTTTTTTTGAGGTGGGGAGGGGGCAGAGAGAGAGGAAGAGAGAGAATCTTTTTTTTTTTTTTTTTAATTTTTTTTTTCAACGTTTATTTATTTTTGGGACAGAGAGAGACAGAGCATGAACGGGGGAGGGGCAGAGAGAGAGGGAGACACAGAATCGGAAACAGGCTCCAGGCTCTGAGCCATCAGCCCAGAGCCTGACGCGGGGCTCGAACTCACGGACCCGAGATCATGACCTGGCTGAAGTCGGACGCTTAACCGACTGCGCCACCCAGGCGCCCCAGGAAGAGAGAGAATCTTAAGCAATCTTCACACCCAGCATGGAGCCTTACTCAGGGCTTGATCTCATGACTATGAGATCGTGACCTGAACTGAAATCAAGAGTTGAACACTTAATGGAGCCACTCAAGTGCCCCTAACCCTTGTAATTTCTTTTAAAAATCATTTATTTATTTTGAGAGAGAGAGAGAGAGAGAGAGAGAGAGAGAGCATGAGTGAGGGAGGGGCAGAGAGAGAAGGAGAGAAAATCCCAAGCAGGCTCTACGCTGTCAGTGCAGAGCCTGATTTAGGGCTTGACCCCACAACTGTGAGATCATGAGCTGAGCTGAAATCAAGGGTTGGTCACTCAACCAACTGAGCCACCCAGGAGCCTCAACCCTTGTAGTTTTTTAGGTGGTAAGAGCACTAGGAGCATCTTTGGTTCTAATATTTGGTCTTCGTCCCTGGTTCCTGACACAGAACTCCTAAATCTCTTGGAATTTCCCGGGTGACAGGACTGTCTTTTGTTTTAATGAAGTGACTCTTGGTAGGGCTCCTGGATGGTTTTAGGATGGGAGCTGGTCATCAGAAAGACTAAACCATGATTTGGAGCTTGCAACTTTCAGCTCTGCCTCCATCCTCTCGGAAGGGAAGAGGAACACATTGACTCAAAGATTGGTCATGCCTATGTGATGGAGACTCCATAAAAATCCCCAAAGCATGGGGTCCAGAGAGCTTCCAGATTGGTGCATACAATCCATGTGCCAGGGGGGTGGTGTACCCCACCTCCATGGGGACAGAAACTCTTGTGCTCCAGATTCTTCTGGACCTCACCCTATATACCTCTGCTTCTACCTGTCCATCTGTATCCTTTATATTATCTTTTATTATATAACAAATGGGTAAACCTCAGTGTTACCCTGAGTTATGTGGGCCATTCTAGCAAATTACTGAACCAAAGAAGGTGATCGTGGGAACACCAATTTATGGCCAGTTGGTCGGAAGTGTAGTGACAACCTGGGACTTACAATTGGCATCTGGAGTGGGGCGGGGGGGAGCAGTCTTGTGGGACTGAGCCCTCAACCTGTGGGATCTGAGGCTACCTCCAGGTAGACAGTGTCAGAACTGAGTTAAAGTGTAGGACTCTCGCTGGTGTTGGGGAATTGCCTGATGTGTGGAAAATAATTCCCACCCAGGAGTGAAGTGTGGTCATGTGAGAGCAAGGGAGAAACTCAGGAGTGTTTTCCACACAGTTGTTTTGAGCTACTAAGTTTCGTGTGATTTTTAAAAACACATCAATAGACAACTGCAGAAAGCTTCTTGCAAGCCCCACCCTCTTCCTGAAGAACCCCGGTGGGCTCCTTGGTACTTGTGAGGAGGCGCGCCTCCTCCTGCCATTCAAGACCATCAAATTCTACGGCACCCTCCCCACCAGCCTCTCTCCGAGTGGTTTGAGTCTAGGCTTCTCAGGCCTCCTCGGGATGAACCCCCCTCTGTAGACACCCTCACTCCCCTGCGCCCATCTCTCACAGTAGGAGTACCGGAAAGGCAGATGGATGGGGTGTCTGCACAGCTTGAGGGGCAAGGTGTGGGGACAGGCAGATAGGGCAAGCCCCAGGAAGGACAGATGGACAAGCATCCAGCTCTCCCCTTTCCTGAATGGCCACAGGAGGAATGAGGTCGCCGCCCCATGCCTCTCGCAGAGATGCTGAGAGTGTGAATGAGAACAGCTTGTGAGGGGCTCTGACGAAGCGGCCTGGTGAGGAGACCTTTTGTAACCTTCCGGACCTGGCATTGAACCAGAGGACACATCACATGACCCAAGTTACTATGCCCTTTGAGCTTTCTTGGCTCACATCCCAAATGTTCTTACACTCTGCAGGGACTCTTTAATCTGGTGAGGGATATGGATGTGTCTGGGGAGGGCGTGAAGGTTCTGAGATGCAGCGGGTGGGTTAAACCTCACGGGTATGTGCCCCTGTACCATTTTCCCCCTAGAATGTCTACAGCTCCTGAAAGGGGACTGGGACCCAGAAAAGGGTCTAACTTGGTACTGGGCTATCCAGACTGGCCCCACATTGATGTTTACTCCCAGCAAATCTGGTTCTGTGTTTAAGGGCTGTCGGCATTCACCCTGAAGAAGTACTGCCCTCTTCACTCTGCAACCCTAATACCCAACCTGCTTCGGGAGGTTTGAGATCAAACCGGCCAAGCAGGTGCACCCTCTGTCCTTCTCTTCCTCCCAGGCAGACCTCGGTTTCCTTGTACCTAAAAGTGGACCAGCCTTATGTTACAGCCACAGCCCAGGCTGCAGGTAATATCCCCAGCAACAGGGAAATCCTCTGCTCCCTGCCTATATTTTGCATCTTGGCAGGCCCTTCTCAGGGATTTTGTTTACATTTTAATTTAACTGCATGGGCTTCTGCTCGTATAGGAGTTTTCATATTTCTTGGACCTGAACGCGATTTTCTAACGTGACCTACCAACAGCATTGGTCACCTGCTAATGGCAGTGATCATGGCAAAACGGCTTCTGTCTTGGTCTTATCTACATTCCTCCTCAATCCTTGTAATCCTGAAAGCTGATCTCAGTACGCTCATGAAAACCAAGAGCAGCGAAGAGGGAGGTTTCCGCAAGGGTTGTTTACCTTGTTTCGTTTACCTTGTTTCGTTTTGTCTTGTTTACATTGTAATAAGTTCCTGAAAGTGTCTGTGAAAACCAAATGTACCAAAGTTGGACCATGGCCTTATGTTATACAAGAGGCAGTGTGCCCTACCGGTTAAGTGCATAGCCATAGATCTCGGTGCCATGGGCATAGACCTGCCGCTTGCCATGGCCGAGAGAACTCTCTGCGCTTCAGTTTTCTGAAAACGGGAATGTTTATAGTAACTACCTTGCAGGGTTCTTGTGCAAATTAAGTGAATTAATATATTGAAAGCACTAGAACAGGGTCTCTTATCCATGGTATGAGTTAGCAATTATTGTTGTATGTCCTAGGGTGGGTTCTATACTCAGCTGAAAAAAAAGATTGGTGCCCTAATTATATTTTACCCCTGATGTAATCACTGATGATCGATTCCTTTTTTTAAGACATTTTTTAAATGTTTATTTATATTAGAGAGAGAGAGAGAGAGAGACAGGGTGTGAGCAGGGGAGGGGCAGAGAGAGGAAGATACAGAATATGAAGCAGGCTCCAGGCTCTGAGCTGTCAGCACAGAGCCTGATGCAGGGCTCGAACTTGTGAACTGTGAGATTGTGACCTGAAGTGGGACGCTGAACTGACTGAGCCACCCAGGTGCCCCTAATCCTTTTTTAAAAGTTTATTTCTTTTTTTTTTTTTTTTGGAGAGAGAGAGAGAGAGAGAGAGAGAGCACGTGCATGTGTGTGTGCACATGTGTGCATGAGAGGGGGAGGGGCAGAGAGAGAGAGAGAGAGAGAGAGAGGGAGGGAGAGAATCCCAAGCAGGCTCCACGCTCTCAGCACAAAGCTCGAAGCGGGGCTCCATCTCATGAACCATGAGGTCATGACCTGAGCTGAAATCAAGAGTCCGACACTTAACTGGCTGAGCCACCCTAGCATCCCACCGACGATCTATTTCTGAGGCTTCGTTTTCTATCTCTCACAAGCGAATCCAGTCGGCCAGCTCCAGACAGATGCACACTCAGCAAAAGCTAAAGGTTTTGCGGCTTTCAGCCACCTGATGACTTTCATTTTAGTTCCAATTGTATCAAGTTTGTGAAAACTCTGTTACTACTAACACTTGCACTTTTATTCTCCTGTTTTTGCTCATTCTTTGTACCAACGAACACAACAACATATTCAATTACACCAGCACGGCGTATGGCATGGGCCAAATGGAGTGGCAGCGCTTCCAAAAGGGGACTTGTGTCACCTTTTGATATGTCAGTATGTTTGCTGGTGGACGTACAAAAGCAGGAGTTTGGTGAAGGGAAACCAATTTAGGAATGTTGAAGTCCACTATGATGGTGACAATGGTCAGAAGCCAAGGACCATTGAGGCTGGGACATATGGCTGGGTTTGGGTCATGATCTACTTGTTGAAAGGACAGTTGTGACCATGAAGTTGGAGACAGTCATCCTTCGCCTGAAAAGCAGACCCATTCCGAGAGAGCTGGCTATAAAGCAACCATTCGTAAGGCGAATCATGTTTTTGTTTGTTTGTTTAAATTCCATTGTGAAGTTAAGCTGGTCTTCTATAGGAAAATGGATGGCTTTGACGGGTTTGGTGATGGGGCCAGGTCTATGTCATGCTGGGATTGTAGGGTCAGAGAGATTTAAGAATACTTTTAATAATTATCTGTTCCTTCCTGTAGCAGAAGCTTAAATGGAATCGTGAGTTCTGCCATGTACTCTGCTTCAGAAGTTCCGGGGAGCAGAGGACACTCGAGGTCGCATCCTCAGTGTGGCCTGGATCCTTCTCCCCTTTTGTTCTCCTGGAGAACGTCTTGCAGTATAGCTGGTAACTCACTAACATCTTCATTTCTTTAGCCCACATTTCTTTGTTTCGTTTTGCGACTGGGGTGAGTGAGACAGTGTTGGAATTCGTCACTCTCCTTACAGTTGGGGTTTATGTAATCTCGGTATTCTGCTCACTTTGGCGGCTAGATCCTGGATGTCGGAGAGGTCACATGTGACTCTGAGCAGTATGTCTGGCGTGGAGGCGTAAGAGAGGCCTGATGCCCACGGAGGATTTCACGTGTTAACAGGATGGCCCTGTATACAGAAGCAACCAAGGGCCCCAGCACGGGGACACCAGCACCGGATAGCACCTCATAAGGACAAAACACTGAATTTCTCCTTTGCCCTCTAGTGGTAAGGCCCTCGACTTTTTAATTCTGGCTAGTGACCAAGCTTCTACAGGTCAGCTTGGCTGCCATTGTCCCTGTATGATTCTGGGTTCTGGAGGTTCTGGAGACAGAGGAGAGCCCAGTCTTGTGGTCCTGGCCAGGTCACGATTTCCTCATTGACCTGTCATCATTATGCTTCCTCAGTCTCTTCGGGTTTCCCCGGCCCAGAGGACCTCACAGTCTCATCCAGTCTTTGGGTTAGGCAGTTACGGGAGCTCATGCCTACCTCCTCTCTGCCGGCCTCGGGTACAGTTGTCATAGTTGACAGACCAGGATGCCTGTCACAGTCCACTGGTGGGGATGGGCACTCAATATGTGCTGTGCTTCCCTTTGAAAGCACCTTAACTCAAGAATTCTAGAAAACAAGCCATTGCCTACCGTTATCAATCCTAAAAGCTCCTATTTTCGTCAAGTTAATTTACTTCAAAGAAGGTGTGATAAAATTGCTCAGACCCACTCGGAGACCCATTATAAGGGGGTCTGGCGTCGAAGAAATTTTTTTATTTTCCTGATTATAAAAGCAATACGTGCTCATTCCAAAAACTTAAGAAAATGCAGCAAGATACATAAGAAGAAAGAAATTCTCCCAGAATCTTCTCTCTTAGAAATAACTACTATTAGCATTTAATGTGCCACCCTTTTTTCTGCGCACAGCTATTTATAAAATTCGGCGGACTTCATACACAGTTTTGCATTTTGCTTCATTTCACTTTGTACAACCAGTGCATTTCCCCATTTCATTACCTATGCTCCAAAAACACCATTTTAATGACTGCATAATATTTCATTGTCTGGTTGTTGCAGAATTTAGTCAGCCAATTCTCTGTTTGTAGGCACCCAGGCAGTTTCCCATTTTTAATGGTTATAAATGATGCTGTGGTGAATATTCTTGTCCAGGAAATCTTTATCTGGGTTTCTGATAGTTTCCTGGGAAGAAATTCCCGGAAGGGAAATCACAGAGTCTCAGCTCTGCTGTGCGGTACCTCTGTCCTCACTTAAAGATGCCCGGGGAGGTGAGTGGCTCCTGTCACCCCCAGTGGGTGGACTTCACTGCCTTTGAGGCCCGGCCTGCAGGATCTTTGTGAGTGCCAGTGGAAGGTGCAGAAGGGCCCCGCATCCTCCCCGGGGCCATTACCTGAATCCACTCCATGCAAAGCAGGACATCCCCCTGCAGGAATCACTTCGTAATTGACTTAGAGACTAAAGCATATTTAATTAACCATGGAAACCCTCCCAGCCATCTGCCTCTGTTTTTATTTTGAGGAAGAAGGCAGATCTTACTTCCTTCAGCTCCCTCTTTTTGGGGATGGAGCTCATTTCCAGTATCTTGGTTCTTGTGTAGAGCACGGGCCTGCTCCACTGGTGGTGGCCCAAAGTGGCAGAACCATGGGTTTAGCCTGAGGTGGCAGGCCGGGTCAGAGGTCATGCAGGCCTCAGGTTTAGCCTGAGGGGGCAAGGCCAAGGCAGCACCTGCTCTGGCAGAGAACTGGACATTTGCCAGTCCCAGCCTCTGCCTCTTGGCTGCTGGCCTAAAATCACAGGCATTCATACTGGAAGGTGCCTTAGAGGAAAAGGCCAAAGCTCTCATATCTCAGGTGAGGAAACTGAGGGCTGGAGACCCTCAGGGCATGCTCAGGGACACGGAGTCTGAGACTCTGTTTCTTTGCTCCTTTGCTGCACCCTCGAGGGAGGAGGTATGGCTTTGATTTCAGCTACACTCTACGGGCAGGGGACTCAAAGGGGATCCTAAGGGCTATAATGGCCCACAATGTCCAAGCAGTTTAAAATGTGCAAAACACATTCCCACAGCACGTCTTGCTGGATGGACACTCACCCAGCCCCTGCGGGCAAGGGAGACTGGGGAGGTCATGTGACTTGCCTGCAGACACATGGTTGATGAGCCAGTGTGGAGGCTGATGGAAACACTAAGTGCTTTGATCTGAATTGCTAATATGTCCAAATGCCTTTTATTTGCATGGTGTTCCTCAGAGGGCCCTGGCAGTGAGCTCACTGAGGAAGGGTCTGATGGAACATTCGCCCACTTGTCACTCATGACATCACCTCCTCCAGGAAACCTTCCTAGGCTCTCTCCCCCCAGCTACCCGCCCCCCCTCCCACCCCATCCAGGGTGAGTTGAGAGGGAGGACTGGTTCTCTGCCCCTTTGTCACCCCACACGTACCCCAATATCCCCTAAGGCTCTAAACTTCACACTGTAACCCCAGCTCTAGCCAAGGGCGTGGCTGACACTGGTCGGTCAGTAAATGATGTTGAGTTTAATGAGACTGAATATAGACCCAGGTGTGATTGCTCCTACCGGTAGCTTTCCTTCCCCCCTTCCCTTTCACTTTGGCAGGAAGTCATCTGCGATCCCTCCGGGGGTGAGTATTATGTGTGCCCTGAGATGGTCCCTGAGGGCGGCCATATGGACCCGCGTGCTGCCAGGCTGGCTGTGTGCCCCAGATCCTGAGCTGTCGGTGGAGATAGGGGTCGAGCCCAGAGACCCCAGCCAGGTAAAACTACCTTTTGATAGATGTGCCGATGGGCCTGGGAGGGGCACTCGGGAACGTAGGCCACTAGGTGGCCTTGTGCTTTTTGGGCAAGTCATTTCCACCCTCCTCTGGCTATAAGGCAGTTTGACTGGACCCTTCCATCTCTGATGTTGCATATCCCGTGACTCTATAATGACCCCTGTCAGAAGCCATCCTGCGGGATGAGGACAGGGGCAAAAAGATAGCGAGTCAACTCCAACCAGCAGTCAGGACGCCGGACCTGCTAACCAACTGCAACGCTTCCTACATACCCAAGGCTCAAGTCAAACAGAAAAGCACAAAGCTCCTGGATCCACTTTAACATCCCTGCGAGGCTGAAAATCTCTCTCCTTTTTAAGCTGTAAAAGATGTGCTCCCTGAGACAGATGCCCTCATCTTTAATCATTTTCCACCGTCTCCAGCCACAAGCAGCCTGAAAGGGGATGAATTAGGACCCTGTAGATAGGGTTTCCTCCAGAGCCACATGTTAAACCCAAAGCAGGTCCTGGCTCCGCTGAAATCAGATGAGCCAAGAAAAGCCCTCGGTGGCAGAGCGCTGGGGTCCCCCGACCCGGAGGCACGCGGCGGTCTCCCCCAGCGCCACCCGCCTGGGCGTCTGCGCGCCACCTGGGCTGGCTCTTCTCTGAAATACGGTAAAATGAGGGTGGAGAACTCATTGTTTTCTATCAAGGGCATGGCCCACGGAATGGAAAAATCAATCAGTGGAGGAAGATGAAAGTAAAATGCAGCTTCATTCTCTCTCCTTGGGGGGAGAGAAAGAGAAAAGGTTACAGTCATTTGCTTTTATAAATCAGGAATGGGGAGCATGCAACTCTCTCTCTGGCAAACACAACCCCTAATAAAAACACACCGCGGGTCCATACTGTGGCCAGTTACTGAGGGAGGGGGACAGAGAGGTTCTAGGAATGGGGGAGGGGGAGAGCCGCTGAGTCAGAAACAGGTGAGGAGGAATAAGGCCAATATCAAAATCAGGGAGAGAGAGAAGACGAAGCAGAGCCACAGTCAAAGAAACAAACCTGCAGACAAAAACGGGGAAGCGTGGACAGGACACAGACACAGACCCTTGATGTGATGAGAGACGGAGATGGAGAAGCCCGAGTGACAGCAAGGAGCACGTGAGGGGTGTGGAGGGAGGCTGAGACTGAGCTCATCCAGGAAAATAGCTATTTGGAGTAAATGACAAGGCCATCAAGGGTTGTTGTTTCCTAAAGAGACAAAGATTACCAGAATTACTTCTTCTTCTTTTTTTTCTTCAGAATTACTTTGGCACGTGTTTTCATTTCTACCTGAACTTTGAAAAGCATGGACATTCCCCCAAATCCATTTTCCTCGTTTGCTGGGGCAGACGCCGCTCGTTTATGGCCCTGGGAAGGAAGACATCACACCTCAAGTGGTACGTAGACTTTTATGACGAGGCCACCAAAAGCTTTGAGGCACCTTGTGTTTTCATGGTTCTCACCTCTTGACCTAAACGGCCACGTTTAGCTCAACCTGTCCCATCCTTGAAGCAAAGCCTCATGTGTTCAGAGACAACTGATTTGGAATCAGGGACGGTTCAGGGCCAGAGCTGGCCACTCCACTCTGCTGGGGGACAGAGTTTGCTGATGCGTTTGCAAATGAGTAATGAAAACAAGATGGCCGGAGACAGTGTTGAATGAATGAATGAATGAGAGGAATGAGTGCCAGGCATTCTGGCCACATCATACCCAGCAGTAGCTTCCCAAACGTGCCAAATACTCTCACATTTCGCTGCCAAGAACACTGCCTCTTTCCTCCCTTGCTTCTGTCTGGTAAAACCCTTCCCGTCCATTGTTCAGCAATCGATTCATCTGTATTAAGCACCTCTTCTGCGAATCCCCTGTCCATCAACCTCTTACTCCTTTGCAGGTTAATGGCTCCTTCCTTTGGGTTCCTGACACCTGTTGTTGCTCTGCTGTAGGTCTTAGCATTTCCCAGTAGAGCAGGCTTTCTCAACGTTGGCACTGTTCTTTAGGGGGCTGGGTACTGCTTTGCTGTGGGGGGGCTGTCCTGGGTACTGTAGGATATTTGGCAGTGTCCCTCGCTTCTACCCTCTAGAATACAGCAGCCATATCACCCTCAGTTATAACAAATGAAAACATCTCCAGTCATTGCCGAATGTCCTCTGGGGGGTAAAACTGATTCCAAGGACCCTTTATTGGAATGAGATGTGTTTGGGTATGTCAGCCCTCAGAGAGGGTGCATCCTCTGAACCCCAAATGGCATAGAGAAGGCACCTGGATCCTGTAGAGGAAGAATCCAGACAGTTGGACTATGCCCATTGAACCAACCAGTTGAACATATGCTGTGTCAGTCGTTGAAATAAGGACGTGTTGGCACATGAGATCTGTAACGAAATCCATAGGTCTCTATTGAGTCCTGACCTACTGTGACCTGTGGGGGACACGCATGAGGGATATAAAAGGCGTTTTACATCTAACACACTTGTGATGATCCAGTTCATCAGAAAAGTCCTGTAGCCACGGGACACTGATGTAGGAATAGCAAGCAGTTTGCAATGAGGTTCTGAAGCAGGTCCCTCTATAAAGGGTTGGGAGGGCGGTTAGAGCAGGGAAAACCAGAGTGGGCTGCTATTCCTGTGGAGGGCTTAGGAGACTACATAGAACCTGACCTGGACCTTTAAAGGTGAGTAAGACTTGAATGAGGACAATGACACTGGGGTAAGTGTGGTGTGGCCTGAGATCCAGTCGGCCAGGCCCGCAAAGTTGGGTCTTGATTCAGAAGGCCAAGTGTTTCCCAGTATGTCCTGAACAGCCTTCATCAGGGTCACTGGGAACAGTGGTCACAAATGCAGAGTCCTGGGCCTTACAGGCTTAGTGAATCCTTTTTGCTGGGGTGGGCCCAGGACTCTGTATTTTTCACATGCCCCAGGTGATTCTGATGCTTGATGAAGTTTGAGACCTACTTCTGGCAGGGGGCGGGGGGCATTGACCGGTCTTAGTAATAACCTTGGTTTTCCATTGTGTGCAGACGGTAGCATTTATATAGAGTCCAATAGAGGGGTTCAGTACACAGACTGAAACTCCTGGAACCAGAGTGCCGGGGTTCAAATCTTGGTCCTGCCATTTCTACTGTGCCACCTTGGGCAATTTACTTGAAACCTCTGTGCTCTCATCTTCTCATCTATACAGTGGGATTCGCAATGTCCCTGCCTCTTGGGAGCTTTGTGAAGACTAAAGAAGTCAATACATCTAGATGCACAGCGTGGTGCCTGGCAGGTAGCAAATGCTCATTCGATAATTAGTCATCATCATTATTGTTATTATGTTGCATGTGATGTTAGCTGAAGGTTTGAAATATGGTCTTTAGAATATGATCTGCGCTGCTCCCCTCACCTTGCCTTCGGTTACTCCTGAGATTTAGCTGGCCCCTTGCTCCTCCAGAAGGAAGCCGGGCCTGATGCTCTCTGAGTGAGGGGAGAGGCAGCTGTGGACACAAAGGAGCGTCCTGGCAGGGTCAGGTCCCTCCTGGTCTGTGGCTCTGACAGGAGATACTTCTTGCCTCCCTAGCTCTGGGGCAGACTTATTGGAGGCCCAGACCTCTTCCTGGCCTTGCCAGATGGCAGTTGTCACTCCTCAGCAACCCTGTCCCTGAGGGGTCCTGAGCCAGAGCAGGAAAGAAGGGAGGGCAGAAAATGGCTCCATCTATATGAAGGGCCATGGCCTTGGCCCTCCTATTTGTAATAGCACAACTCTGCACCCCAGGGCCTGGAACACGACCCGTCTTCCTCTGAGCCTCAGGGTGACCCTATAAAGTGGGTGGGGTGGCCTTACCCATCACATTTAAAAAAAAATGTTTATTTAGTTTTGAGAGGGTGGGGAGGGGCAGAGAGAGAGGGAGACACAGAAGCAGGCTCCAGGCTCCGAGCTGTCAGCACAGAGCCCGACGCGGGGCTCGAACCCACAAACCACAAGATCATGGCCTGAACCAAAGTCAGATGTTTAACCGACTGGGGTTTAACCCCACCCATCACATTTTTTTTTTTAAGTTTATTTATTTTGAGAGAGAGCAAGAGAGAGAGTGGCAAAGGGGCAGAGAGAAGGAGCGAGAAAGAATCCCAAGCAGGCTCTGCCCGACAGTGCAGCGCCTGACCGAGGCGTGAACCCACAAACCACGATATCATGTCCTGAGCTGAAATCAAGAGTCAGCTGCTTAACCAACTGAGCCACTCAGGTGCTCCTGCCCATTACATTTTATTTTACTTTACTTTACTTTATTTTATTTTATTTTATTTTAT